GCGAACACCTAGAGGCAAACAAAGTCATTACTAAAAGCCAACATGGGTTTGTCAAAAATAGATCATGCCAGACAAATCTTATTGCATTCTTTGACCAAGTGACAAAATTAGTGGATCAGAGGAATGCTGTGGACATAATTTACTTGGACTTCAGTAAGGCATTTGATAAAGTAGATCACAACCTACTACTTGACAAGATGTGGGGTAGACAGCATCACCACCAGATGGATCCGTAGCTGGCTGACCGGCCGTACTCAGCCTGTGGTCCTCAATGGAACCGCATCTACATGGAGGGAAGTGTGTAGTGGGGTGCTCCAGGGCTCTGTTCTGGGCCCAGTGCTCTTCAACATCTTCATCAACGATTTGGACGAGGGGATAGATGGGGAACTCATCAAATTTGCAGACGACACCAAGCTGGCAGGAATAGCCAACACTCCAGAAGACAGACTTAAGATACAGAAGGATCTGGACAGACTTGAACACTGGGCACTATTTAACAAAATGAAATTCAATGGTGAAAAAAGCAAGGTTCTACATTTAGGCAAGAAAAACCAAATGCACAGGTATAGTATAGGGGATGCCTTGCTCAGTGGTGGTAGCTGTGAGAGGGACCTCGGAGTCCTGGTGGACAGTCACCTAAATATGAGCCAGCAGTGTGCTGCAGCTGCCAAAAAGGCCAACACAGTGCTAGGCTGCATTAACAGAGGGATAGAATCAAGATCACGTGAAGTATTAATACCACTTTACAATGCCTTGGTAAGGCCACACTTGGAATACTGAATCCAGTTTTGGTCACTGTGATGTAAACAAGATGTTGAGACTTTAGAAAGAGTACAGAGAAGAGCAACAAAGATGATTAGGGGACTGGAGGCTAAAGCATATAAGGAATGGCTCCTGGAATTGGGTATGTCTAGTTTAATGAAGAGAAGGACGAGGGGGGACATGATAGCAGTGTTCCAATATCTCAGGGGCTGCCACAAAGAAGAGGGAGTCAAGCGATTTTCCAAGGCACCTGAAGGCCGGACAAGAAGCAACGGGTGGAAACTAAACAAGGAGAGAAGCAACCTAGAAATAAGGAGAAACTTCCTGACAATTAGAACAATTAACCAGTGGAACAACCTGCCTCCAGAAGTGGTGAATGTTCCAACACTGGAAGTTTTTAAGAAGAGACTGGACAGCCATTTGTCTGAAATGGTATAGGGTTTCCTGCCTGAGCAGGGGGTTGGACTAGATGACCTCCAAGGTCCCTTCCAACTTTACTATTATTATTATTAACAACGGGGAGAATGGACTGATCTCTGTAGAATGGTTCTCAGTTGAATAGCTGCTAGAAACCCCTCCACACCCATATCTGACTATCACTGATTGGAATACAACTGGAATTTCTGCAAGATTTTGCTCCCAATTTTCAGTCGCAATAGAAAGTCCTTAAAAATACCATGGTTTCTGATACCAGATGTTGCAGAGAACTCATAGGAGTAGAATGGGAATATTTCCCCATCAAGGTCCTGATAGAAATAATAATACTGAACTTTTACAGACACTACAAAGACTACGTCCTACTATATGGTATTCTGGAAGTCATTATTTTCCCATATTCACTTGAAACTGAGAACTTGACCAGGCAAAGGGGGAGCGATTTTTGTAGTGCTCCTGGGGAATTGCCAAGATGCAACATACTAACAGCTCATATTTAGAAACTTTTTTCCTTCTGCACCAACTAAACTCTAGCTATATTTGTCCCCTTTGAACTATTTTTATTTGCTAAGAACTTTTCAAGGTTACTATTACTGACTAATTAGGATGAAGAATGAGAAAAAGCAACTTAGTATGTGCCCAAAGAACTCCAAGCCGCAATACATAAAGGCCTTTAAATAATGGAATATTTTTAAGGCAAAGAAGTACATTGGATTCCTTTGTAGTCTCAAATATGTATGCTCCATTGACTGAGATAATGTCCAGTAGGAATATTGTAGAATTGGTGTTTAATGGTAATGAAAGAGGAGTATTAAAACAGTTGGATTTGATTCAGCATGTTCTATCTAAAATAGCCCTGGAAAATGATGGAATTTATGTTAATCACCCACAGAATTGTAATAACACTTGTTCTCCTCTATTATCTCCTAAAGTAGAATGTTGCCGAGGAATGCCCTTTGATTTCAGAGATTATATATTTGGCATTTATTAAGATTAGCAGCATGCAGAAAAACACTTGAAGGGCTGAAGACTAGAATACTCTATCCTATTACACTATCAAAACAGAGGAACTGCTATGACCAAACTTGCTCCTATTAAAACTGTTTTAACACTTTTAACATACTGAGTACAAATGGGCTGAATAAACTTCAGAACCAAGTGCATACAGCTGAGCTTTTACACTTGTCGTCCACAATAAAATAAGGGTTTTCTTACCAACAGAGGCAAGTGTTTATAACAATCTCTATGAAGAAACATTCCTTGAGAAACAAGATTATATTTCACTGGGTCAGTTACTTATAAGTTAACCCATCAAACTATATGGTCCAGATCACAAAAGGAAATTATTGGCTACATTTAGGCAACTATTTGTGCCAAGAATGCTTCTGAGGATAGGGAAATTCCTTGCTAACATTTATACTCACTGTATGTTTAAAGATACCTCTCTGAGACATTTATTAGGGGACAAACTACTAGATTCTTGAAGAATTTTAAAAATGGGAAATGAAGCAGTCTTAAAACAGATAATTCGAAAGGAAATTCCTCTAATACAACTTATTAATGCCATCCCAAAACCTGAGTTAATCCATACCTTTAGCCAATCTACCATTACTAAAGCCCCTGTAATGACATCTGAAAGTACTGTCATCAGGCTAAATCTGAATTAAGCCATAGTAGTCAATGTGAGCAAAGAGATGGAATTTATTATAATTCGTGATAGACCTACCTTGCAGATGAAAAAGCATATGCAGGTGTCTATCTCTAATATCAATACAAAAATTGCCTTAGTTCCAATTTTATGATGGTGAACTTGGATTGCGTACATATTACTGTCAAAACACTGATTGGCACTCCAGCTAAATCTCCTTCATTAGTTCTGCATCCTCCTAAGCATAGTAAGATCTACAATATCCTCAGTTTAAGAAATATCCATGATTTCCAGTAAAACCATTTAATTTCCCAGCACATCCAAATTTGAAATCTAAATCTCTGGCACAAGAATTAATAGAAGCCTGTATTCCTAATTAGGTTGTCGCAGTTCCTCTTCAGAAAACGTCTGAAATTACTTTCACAGATAACCATACTATCTTGATCTATTAACCCAACCACAGATTTTTCTATGCCTGTTTTTTAAAGAGACCCTACATGATGGCATGACTTATGTATCTTGTGTCCATTTCTTAATCAATTCTGATCAATGTCTTGTGGACAAAACAATTTCTGCAGATTTAGCCTTAGACCTGCTTGAGACACCTGCTCTGTCAACAATAAAAGGTACAATTTTGAAAACTCTTGTGAATTAATACAGAATTCACTTATGCACGTGGAAGATAACTGGTTAGGCAGTTAAATCCAAGGCTCTTCTTTAGTAACCTATGTTAAGTAGCAGTTCAAATTCGCTTGTAGAATCTTGATGAATTTTTAAAATATTTACATTTCCTCTCTTTAAATTATCTACACTTGAAATTGAAATGTATTCTTTTAAGAACCCCGGGATTAATGCTTAAAATGAATGCAGTAGCTTTTGTTAAAATAAATAAAAGATTTTAGTAAACTTTATCTTACCTGCTTAGCCACAAGATAAAGCAATTCTCCAAGAGTAGGTAAAAGACACTGTTTTAGTTTGCCATTTCTGAAGTTTTCTCTTATCAGTTCTGTTAAGACAGTGACTGCCTGGAAAAAGCATATTAATTTGGATGAGAACAAGAGCTTTTAGTTTTCAGAGAAAGGAAAAAAAAGGAGCTCAAAGATAGAATTAAATCGGAATGCTGCAAGATTCTGAGAATGAAAACAGCAAAAAGCCAGTGAAGAACTGCCTGGAAAAGAAGGTATGACAGGCGGGGGAAATTCACACTCATGTGTCTTGATAGGCTAGTTATCTTGCCCACCAATTTCCACAATTATTATTGATTTATATAATTTTATTAAGCACTATAATTAAAAAATAAAAAACAAGAAAAAATAGAAAGTGCAGAAAAGAAAAATAGAAATGAAAAAATAGAGTAAAGAAAAAAAAAAGAAAAATATATAAAGAAAATAAAAAGTACAGGCAATTTTAATAACTAATCACATTTACTTGAATTACAATAAATCATTTCTTCTTTTCCTCTTTCAATTATAAAATAAATTCTTTAAGTCTCCTGGTTCAAACTTGATCATCAAAAGTACAATAAGGGTTCCCAGAGATAACATTTCAATGTTGACAAATAAATTAACTTTACATTCCTTCTTTTTACTTCTTTTAATCTTATTCTTTAATCCCTTTAAATAATGACCTGATTTCTTTTCATTTTTGTCACAAAATTCTTCAAACTTTTAACATCCCTTTTTAAATCAATATAGGAAAATTATCTCCAGGTCACTCTTGTTTATTTGCATATCTCTTTCAATTATTAAGACATCAACCAGTTTCATCTGTATATCCAGTGTAGCATCTTTTTCCATATCATTCTTGTTACCTGCCATTTTTAAATCCATTTTCAAATCAGCCTAGTCTTATCTGGGTAAAGTTCATTTCTTTTCTATAATATCATTTAAAAACTATCTATAGTATCTATTTATACTCTTAAAACTAACCTATGGAACCATTATTTACAAATATCCTTCAATATATCCAACATTAAAGTTCCATTCTATATTACTAAATCAAATTAATTGTAAATTTTTAGTCTCTTCTAGTTCCCTCTACTGTCCAACCTCCAAGTGCTGTCATATACAATATATGTACATTATATTAAGGATTCAAAACATCATTTTCCCATAGGAAATATTCATAGTTAATTCAAAAATCTTATTTCAAATTCATCTGAACCTTAACCCACTTGTAATTTTCCAAAATCAACATTCTAATCACCATTTTGCTGTTTATGAAAAATAACTTACACTTGTGTTTAATATGACACTTGATGTCAGACCCCTCCATTGTATTTCCCTTTGTTTTATTGCTTTGTCTGTGTATTCCTTTTCGGGGTCTGCCATTCTGGTGGGAGGGGGTTGCTTGCTTGGGGAATGTATTTGCCTGGCTCTTTGAAATGTCTTCCCTTCGTGAGAAAGGAATGTGGTCTGAAAACATCTGCCTTATTTCCAAACAATGGAGCCTGGGACTGTTGGGAAACGAAACTAAGAGAGACCTTGAGATGAGCACTAAATCACTAGGTTCACAAAACAACTTAGCACCTGTGGATTGGCTGGATTTCAAATAGATGGTTGGATACTGAGGGAGTGGAGACCTGAATGAGCCTTTTGATGTAATCGTTTGCACGCGAAATCCTCAGACCTTGCTTTGCTCTACTGCTATCACTTACTCTCAATAAAAGTTCCTTTTGAAACAATGCCTGTTTCAAGGGTTCTGCTTTCTTGGGAGACCTAATTAATTAAATGTGATTTAATTAAAAAAGGATAATATGCTGTTTCAGAACTGAATCTAAGATACTACATGTAGATTTAACTTTAAACCAATAATTTATTGTTCTTGTTTTCTCATATACAACCAACAGAATAGGGAGATCTTCATCTAACCTTGCAATAATCAGGATCAAGAAAGCTAAATGTCTACCAATATCCAAGTAGTCTAGAATTTATTCATAACACTACCTGGGATTTATAAAACATAAGGAAAATTAGGAGAATTTTTGAGTTTATATTGCCCTTGTTTGGTAAAACTATCCAAGATAAATAAATATAAAAAAAATATGTATCAATTTGCTTTTCTGTTATCCTATGTTGTTTCTCTTTTTTTTAAAGTAAGCTATGTGATTCTTACCTTGTTCAGGTTTTCTTTTTTTTCTTATTTTCTTTTAAAAATGGACTTAGGAAATAAAATTTAGGCTGGTGTAGAGAAAATGTTTCAAAGCCATTCTCTACAATTTCTCCATGTTTTATGGTGGCCATTAGTAATAACCCAGTGAGAGGCGCTTCCTAAATTAATAAAATCTGGAAAGTATGTACTCCCCTGAGAATGGCCACAATGCAGATTGTTCCACAATATGTTTAAGAATAACCATTCCATAACAAAAGATGGCAGGGAAAGTTTGAATAAAAGATCTCAGATATTGGACAAATATGTAACATATCAATTCTATTGGATATTTTACACACACACACACATATATATACACACACAATTACTACATGTTCTAATAACTAATTCATATATATATATCCATGTAGCAAACAATTTAGAAAACGTTTCATACTATAACACATCATTAAGCATGTTAGAGTACTGTACCTAATAATAGATTATTATGTGAGTGAGCAAACAGAGCAAATAAGAGTTTGGCAAGGTAATTTGGTGGAGGATTTCAAGAGAGACACTTTTTTGTCTCTTCTCTTTTGTTTTCACTTTCTTTCAATCCTGGCTTGCTCCACGCAGAAAGGCAGCTTTCGGTAGCTTGAAATTAGAGTGAGCAAAGATTAAAGACCTGTTTGAAAACGTAGCTAGGAAGGTTGCCAGAGGAGGTTTCAAACAACATGGACAATAAGGGAAGCATAATTATGCAATTATTGTCTTCCTTCCTGGAGAAAATCCAAAGTACACATGCTGCAGGAAGAAAATGAAGCAACTTGAGGACAGAGCTACTATATGAAAAGTGTCAGAGAAAATTAGAGATTCCTGGTCAGGGCAGAGAACTAAGGGCAGCACCAAAGAACAGGAAAATATTCTTCTAATAGTGGAAAATGTGAACCAAAAAAGGAAGATTCAGAGGCATTTGGTCCTTGTGGAACTGGTACCAGATTTTCTTGAAGACAATTAACAGTAATTTCAACAAACCATATCACATAAAAATTTTGTCCTCCTCCCTTCCTTTCTCTTGCTCCATTTTTGCTTTTCTGTATTTATATGTACTTAATCGATGATCTCAGGAGATGATTTTGCAATCTAGCTGAACCTGGATGGATATAAGTCTGTCCACTCCTGCAGTAGACTAACTTCCATTGCTTCATTTGGCTTGAATTCAAATTTGAATTCAATCTGACCTGTCTTCAGTTTGAGTGGGATGATATAAGGCACGAGTGTCAAACTCGCCGTGCCACATGACATGTCACAACGTATGGTGACTTTTTTTGCATTGCTGGAGCTGGGGTGGGCATGGCCTCTGTATGATGCAACTGGTCCGTGGGCCAGCAGTTTGACACCCCAGGTCTCCTTCAAGGTCCCTTCCAACCATATGATTCTATGTTCTATGAACACTGTAGAAGACAGTGGATTAAAGAAAGAACTAGTTTGACAAAAAAGTAGATATCATGGTACAACTGAGGAAACTGTGTAGATTCAAAATAACCTAGTGGGAAAATCTAGTTCTCTTCTGGTTGGTGAAATACAGGATATGACAAAGAGGTTACCAAGACTCTATTGAAACCTATTGACACATATGCGACTATTGTGGGATTTTACTATAAAGAATAATATGACAGAGAAAAGCTACGGATAAGACCTCTCTGCATCAAATAACCACTCCTTCAAAGAGGCATGCAATAATAATTATAACTTCAATTATCCTGGTATTTTCTAAGAATTTAATTCTGCTAAGAATCAGAGGTCAAACAAATACTTCTCTTTTCTTGTTGATGGCTTAATTTGTCAGGAAGGTAAAAGAAAGAAGGGAATCTGCTATGCTGGATCTAATGATCACCAACAGGAAGGAACTGGTTGAAGAAATGATGGTGACTGGAACCTTAAAGGAAAGTGTTTTTGTCTTTGAATTTGTGATATTCAGAGGAGGAGGAGCAGAGAAGAATTAGATCTACAAAACTTCAAAAAAAATATCTTTCCTAATTTGATCTTTCCTAATTTGTCTGCTGGATCTTAAAGAAAATATTAAGTTTTTAGGCACAACGCTAGGCACAATACAATACAAATATTATGTTCCTAGGAACAACCCTAGGCACAATAATTTCCTGTTGTCATAATGAACTGGGGTGTTTGGAATAAATGATCTGTCAGATTAGCAAAAGATCTGGCTGGTCTTCCAAACTCCTCCTTCAGTTTCATTAGTAAATCAGCTCAGATTTTCCTGAGGAGGTAATAATACAATATCAATGTATTATCTTTCCATTCAGGCTCCCCTGTTAAGATGTCATCAGATTTTTCCAACTTCCTCTATATGATATTTATATAGACTATATCAAAGGGCCCCCCTTCTTGTGCTAAATGCTTTCCAATTTAACAAATCTTTCGATGCATTTCAATTATATAGATCAAAAGACTATCTATAAAGCCCAATTTAAAATTAAACAAAAGGCAAGTTGTGACACAGGAATGGGGGAGCTCAGCTGCATCTTCTAAGATTCCTTCTTGGTTCTGGTAATTAGTCACCAGCTTTTTTAATAATAGAGGTTTAGTGCAACCTGCAATATATCTGGGATAATGACTTGCACATCAATTCCAGCCTCGTTTCCTAACTTCCAGCTTGTCTGATTTTTTTTTCCAAATATGTATGTCCCAGCTTCCCATCATTCTTCCACTATTGTGAAACTTTGACAAGGCTTTACTCTTGCCAGGGTAGATGATTATCCTCTGCTGTTTTGCTGGGATGCTACAAATATATCCCCTAATATTAATGCATTCACTCTTGTGGAGATGCCTCAGTAGCTTGTTGGAGCCATATGCTCTTTTTCTGCTAACTTTAAAGGAAATCTTGGATTATTTTCATCCACCCCATCCCAATGACATTCTCAAGTAGAGAGCATGATTTTTAGCTGACATGTCTTCTGCCCAACCAGGATTCAGCTGCATCTTCCAGGGTTGCTCAAGTTTGTTCTTTCTGTATGTAATATCCATCTTTTGTTGTAACTAAAAATTGCATTAATTTCTGCCTTTTACTTTTCATTTTATAATACATTTTTATTTCTATCTTTATACCTGTTATATTTGACTTCTAGACTGTGGCCATAGTAATACACATTTCGATTTGATTTGATTATGTGATCATATCTCATGCTGTTAAGTTACCTTTTATAATATTAACATTCCTAAGGATAATTTGTCAATATCTGATTAATCAAATCAAACTAAATAATTAAATAAAAAAGTAATAAAAGAGAAACATTTATTTTCACCGATAATGCTTTTTTTTTTTACTTATTTGTCACCAAAGTTTGGTTGCCCAAGACTGCTGATACAGTAATCCCAATTGATAAACTACAAATCAGCAAAAAGTGTGGTCATTCTGCTAATACTTATATGATAAATGAACTTTTAGAAAATTTAGGAAATTTGCAAAGTGTAAATATAAAATTGCAACAAATTGACACATATATATTCAATATACTCTTTCATATCAAGCAACATTATATGGATCAAAGAAAAGGAGTAACAAATAACAAATTAAGAAATTAAACGGATGAGATGGGGGGAGTATAGAAGCAGAAAGATATAGAGGGATATAATGAATAACATTGATGTTTTTCATATTTTTTTGCAATTCAATCTTCATTCATTCCCCCTCTATATGACCAGAATGTCTCAATATATTTATTTCATACAGGTTACTTCTGGATTCAGACTATTTTTATTCAGCACCTTCCTGCTTTTTACTCTAATTCTTCTTGTATAACCATACAGTTAAAGACCTCAAATCTACTTATTCAATATAATTTTATATTTCTTCTGACATAAACCTCCTTAAATATAAAGAAGTAAGTAAAAGCACACTTTAGACACTGCCATTTTTACTTCTCTGAGCAACATTCATCCATCAGGTCAAATCTACTTTTCTACCAGTAATAGCATGCTTTAAAATGTAGTGAAACTTCTACCGAAGTGCACAAATCTGAAACGGTCAATGTGGGAAACTGGATTTGTTTAAAAATCGTATTATTCACTTAACAACTGCAGTGATTCACCTAACAACCATGGCAAAAATAGGAAAACTGGGCATAACTCATTTAATAATCTCCTTGATTAACAATGGATTATCTGGTCCCAATTGTGGTCATACGTCGAGGATTACCTGTAATAGTCCTCCTACTTTCCCCACAACAACCCTATGAGTGGCTGAGAGAGAATGACTGGACCAATGTCACCTAGCCAGCTTTTATACTTAAAACAAGACTGTAACTCACAATCTCCTAGACCAGGACCTTAATCACTACACCAAGCTGGCTCTATGTGCCAATGGGCTCCTTACAGAAAAGAGATACAAATGTAATAACAAATTACCAGATTTAAAATAAACAGCAAATTCTGTAACATACCTCAAGGATTGGAACATTTTCTTTAAGTTCAGATGTATGCAATGCCAGTAAGCCAATTGCTCGAGCTGATCTAGCACGTCTGTAATCAAAAGAGATAAACTTTATGAAACCCACAAACTCATTTAATGCAATATTTAAAATCTACTCAAAGCTACATACAAGAGTATTTAAAAGTTCATTATTAAAAATTACTAAATTGTAAATTGAACTTAATTGTGTGTTCATATTTTCACTGGATATCTCATCCAAATTATCTTTTAAAATGTATTATTATTAAACCCAAGATTAAATATTTCTTTCAGATCCTTGAAAGTTAACATTTCCTGAATATTTGTTTTTTAATCTAATATCAGATAAAAATTGTATTTCTTACAAATGTTTCACTACTGCCTCTACTTTAAAATACAAAAGATATATTTCTAGCACCCCATTGATAATTTCTCAGAGAAAAAGAGTGATACTGTTTTTTCATTTTTTCCTTTCTTTTGTTCCCATTCCAGATATTAACACATTTCTCACCTACGGTGATCATGAAAAAATACAATGTCATATTAGCATAAGGTATTAATATAGTCTTATTTTTCTTTCAGCTATATTGCTTTATTTGACTATTTTTAATAATCAATGATATTTTTACAGACCTTACATTTTTTCTAGAAGATTATAGCTCATACAATTCCCAGATGCTGTTCTCCTTGTTTACTATCCATTAAGAATATAAACATCTTCTGAATAAGATCAAGAGCAAATCTATTCTTTGTAGCAAGCTCGCCAGCCAATGACAAAAGGAAATGGATGCTCAAATTATCTGATCCAAATATCTGCTGTAAGAAATATCCTTTTCCAAAACAGCAAGCTGGAAGACTGTATAGGTAATCCTCAACTTGTGAGTAGTCACATAGAGACCAATCAAAGTTACAGTGGCCCTCCCCGGGGATACTTGCCACCTGGTTCTGAAATTTCAATGGCCAGAGACTGATGGGTTGTCATATGACCACAATTCGGGCACTCAACCACCAGCCCACAATTACAATCATCTGCAGCATCCCATGATCATGTGATTGCATTTTAGAACATTTTGCTGAAAACCAGCATTTACTTCTGATTTTGAGCAAAACTGTGCCATAGCAAACAATGGGTTTGCTTAACAACTACTGAAAAGAGTCATAAACTTAGGTTGGTCACATTTGTGACCTGCTTTATGACTGTCATAACTTATGACCATAAAGAGAAGTCTCCATTACAGTTGTAAGTTGATACGGTTATCAACCAAACCACAGAAATTAGAAAATATTGAAAACAGTAGCCTTTCCAACTATAAATATCATCATTCAGTAACCTGATCCCAGAAGATCCTACTGCTCTAAAGAAGAATAAGACACATGCAAAAACCTTAAACTGATATATGCCATTTTGATCTTAGTTACCAACTTGTTTGAATTCAGGGACTGACAGAAAGGAATACATATACATGATTTTTCATATCATGTCTCCAGAGATTTTATAGTTCATTCTTTTAATAAATAATAACACTGGCTCTAGTTTATAGTTTGTTTATAGAAACTTTATTTACTTACACATCCCAATTTGGAGCTATCCGCAATTGTTGAATCAGTACAGGGAACTAAAAAATAAATATCATTTTTGTCATGAAAAATAAATTACAACAAATGTAATAGCTCTAAAGTTTTTACTTGCTGAAACACTGCAAAAATGACAGGTGCCCATTTATGTTTACAATTTTAAATATTAATTCTCAGCAGCTGTTGGGTAGAAGAGGGATGGAGGTGTGTATTAATGGACCGGCATTTCTCCTTTAGCAACCACAATTGAACTGACAATTCAGTCATCAAACAAAGTTGCTGATAAGTGAAAAACAATGCAAAATTGCCACTATGCTTACAATTTCACTTCAGCTTTTCTTTGCTTTACAGTATCAGAAGGATATGACTCCAAACAGCTGGTGAGCCCAAACTGCTGGGAAGATTTCTAGGAATTTATTCACATGGAAGACCCTTTGGAATGACCACTCCGATTCAGGGATATTAAGAAGAAAATAATTGATGTTTATATTTACATTCATTGGAGAGGAAGGAATAATAAGAAAGTAAACAGGCATGCAATGCGAAATACATATCAAAGGAATATTCTACTACTGGCTGTTTGCATAGTGCATTTGCAGTGGCAAGCCACCAGCCACTTAGGAAGCAAAAAATAGCCCTTAGTGTGAAACTGATTAGGCTCTTTTCTGTTTTCAGATATGAGGAGGGTTCTAATGAATTAATGAAGTCCACATAGCTGACTTGCAGTTAGTACTTTTTAGGGAAATGCTGCACAATGGGCGGAGAAAAGCAGCTCAGGAATGATAGCTTGTTTAGACCATCTTTCCATTCTTTGAGATGGGTGGAAGAAGGAAAAAAAACCATGACAGACACAGGACCACACAGGACCAGTAGCTATAAGGATGAACATGGGACTGAAAGAAAGAGAAAGACAGAAGGTTATAAATATGGGCATTGGTCACAAAGTTAATCACTGTCGTAATTGAGAATGATTATTATCCAAGGCAGTTGCTAAACAAGGATTGCCTGTAATTTTTATCCATAAACTTAATTGTTTTCTTCACAAATATACCTGTAGTAGGTTTATAATTGTTCCAGATGAATTTTTTTTCAAGAATTTTAAATACAATCCTTTTTATTTGACAAAGCAGTTTAAGCACAAGCCATTCAGAATAGCACTAACCTATTTTAGCATTTCTGATTCTTCCATAACATATTATTTCATAATATACACCTCATTCAGAGATAGTATATGCAACATTTTAAAATATTTAGAAACATATTCAAATTATTTCTTTGCTTTATCTTTTCTAAATATTAGTTTCATGCTTACAAATATTTACTTAGAGATAAGTGCTACTATATTAACTAGAATTTTTTTCAGGAAAATATGAATCTGAGTGTCCTCTGTTGAGAAGAATGTGATATAAACTATAATGTTTAATTATTTATAATTTATTTTTAAAAGTAGACCACAACCTACTATTTGATAAGATAGAAAAATATGGGTTAGACAGGATCGCCATCAGATAGATTGGTATTTGCCTGAAATGGTATAGGGTTTCCTGCCTAAGCAAGGGGTTGGATTAGAAGACCTTCCAATTCTATTATTATTATTGTTGTTGTTGTTGTTGTTGTTGTTGTTATTACATTAGTAGTAGTAGCATTAGTAGTAGTAGTAGTAGTATATAATTATGTAATTAAATATTTTCTTACAATGCAAGAAAAAAGCATTATTGTAATAGCTATAGCTGTACTACATTTTATACCAACTTATTGGCTATTGATCCTAAAGCTTACCAGCTGGGTATCAATTAATCTTGTTGCTACTCCATTATAGCTAAGAACACTGCAGAGATAGCACAATAAATTCAGTTTAATTCTGGTGGTTCCTGTAGTTTTCTCTGGGGAACTGATCAAATGAAGCACTTGTTGCATAAAGTCATTCCATTCTGTTTGTTCCAGAATTATCAGTTTCTCAGCTGAACAGAAAAATAAATCAAGAACAGTTTAAGAGCACATATTCAATTACATTTTGTAAATTGCAATAGTATATTTTTTATTTTTATATTAATTTTAATTCAACATTAATATTTAATGTTAACCATGTTTCTGTCACAAAGTGAGTTTACTGACAAATAAACCTAACAGTACTAGAGGAAATATCTGATGTTGTAACTTGAGATTTGTACTAAAGATTTATGTATGTTATTGAATTATTGATTAACCCAGTCTATATGTTGCTTTTCAAATACTTAACTGTAAAATTAGAAAACCAATAAAATATTATTTTAAAAAGACGTTTGAAAGCCCTGTCTATCAGGTGCTCCTGTTGAACTTACAAAAAAGACATTTTTCTCTTGTTTTTAAATATAGCTCTATGATCCCCTGAATTTGTAATTAAGGCTCCGACATCTCTTGCTAATTCCTTATATTCTGTTTGATCTTTTAGACAATCTTTTTTTTTCAGAGCCATTTTGATATATTCAAATCAAATTAAATCTATATACTACTAGAATTCTCCTATTTGCAACCTTATACTGATCAAAATTATGCATCAGAGCAAAATGTTTTCAACCAAGATACTCAAACGGGGTAACTTAGGGGCCCATTATTCTTGTGGGAATGAAATTCTGGAAAGTTCTTACTATTTCTTTTTTTTTTTTTTCCCAATATAAAATTTTATTGTTTTTATCATAAAAAAAAAGAAATACATCACAGATATTACACAATGTTAAATCCCATCCCTCCACCCCCCGGACTTCCCAAACCAACCTAGGCTAATATTCAAATACAAGTAAACAAATATTAATATCTCTAACTCCAAAGTCTAAACTTAAACAATCCATCTCCTCCGTATTAATAAAAATTATTCATTTAATTAGTTCTTCAAATATCCAAAATCTTTACCATTTCAGCAAGATAGTTTAACACCATCCCTTACTTAT